TGGGCTCATCTTGAATGATGCTGTGTTTAGGAAGTCCCAAAATCTTCTGAGATAGAGGAGGACACTTTAACCAAATGTTTAAAGTGTCCTACTATTCTTCTACATGTAGTAGTTAGTAAAGAAATGCGTTCATTATCGAGACACCCATCTTTTACAACCAACTGAAGGATATGATCGAGACAAGGAATGTTTTAAAACTTCCCTACTTCCATAGCAGAGACAATATTTCTGGCATTATCTCTTACTACTATATGGAGTTTTTCAAGTAGTCCCCAACGCTCAAGTGATTCATTCATAAATTTAACAAGATTATCTGCAGTGTAGGACTCGTAAGTAAAAGGTGCCACGTCAAGACAAATGTGAGTTTGTGAATTCATATCTTCTGTGAGGAAATGTGCTATTAGACTCATGTAACCAACATTAACTGTGAAGTTCCATTTGAAGGTAGTTATACTAACATAATCAGTTTTTACAAATTTTACTTGATACCTTCTGATAAATGTTAGAAATTTCAATAGTCAAAAAGTATTTTCTACTTGGTATTGTATATCTTGGCTCAAAAAACTGTAGTAAACTTTTGAAACTAGGATTTTCTACTATACTAACAGGTTGGTTATCTTTGTTATTATATCATTTTTGCAATGAGCTTTGTAATTTTTATTACCTTTGGATTTGTAGATGTGAAAGGCCTGGTCTTTGCAATCACTTGATGTATTGTCACCTGTTTAGGAGATGAAGATCTAGGCTTCACTTTTAGAGAACCAAGTGTAGAAAAAGAGCTTCTCGTATTGATCTCTGCATCCTCAGATTTGACTTGAGACTGGCACGGTCATAGGAGTTTCAAAAGCAGGTTTAGGAAAGGATTTAGAAGATGATCCTGCAGTAGAGATTGCAGAGTTAGTGTCAATTAAATTGATTGCAAAACAGTCCCATATCTTGCTTTCTTACTTTTCGGCATATTAATGATAATATATTCGGAAATAAAAATAGCATTTATAATATTAAAAAAATAATAATACTAACAATAAAATTTATATTTTAAAAAAAAGCAAATAAAATTATTATTATAATAGTAGTTATCGCCGGTTCAAATATCAATTGAAGTTTTGTTAAATTAAATTAAATAAAAGAAGTACAGTCGTTAAAAAGTCATTTTAGAAAGAATCAGAATCGCAAAAAAGGTAGAAATTCGCAATTCTTACGACTCCTTGAGAGTTTCTGAAATCGGGAGAATCGGAATCGGCCCGTCTCTAGTTTTTATCATTTATTACACATGATAACTTCATCCCAATTTTTTGCCGTTTTTTTTGTTGTTGTATTCATTTTTTTTTTACTTAATAGTCTCTTATTGTTCACAACTCTGCCCTTCATCTGTCAAAACAACTCGAGGACACTCTTAACGTTTCTTTAAGGAGTCTTTTAATACTTCTGACCTCAGCAATAACATGCACGCTATTTTTTAATTTCATTAGATTTAATTTGTTCCATAACAGAGTAGTTATTCAATATAGCATTTGACGCTAAACACAATCAGCTCTAGTCACTTGTATGAATTTAAAAACCGCATTGACAAACACGTTGCCTACCGGTTCCAGAAAAGTTCCGAAATTAATCTCAAATAATCCCGTATTGATTTTATAATTTATTCTAAGATATTTTTTTAAAAAACATCTTTTTATAAGAAACCGTTAATCCATTTTTTATAATGGTTAATCCGATCAAACAATTCGGCAGTAGAAGAATTATACCATACCTATACTATAGGCGTGTTTTAATCCGAGTTAGTATTCATTTGGTAAATATTGTTTTTAAAATCGAAAATAAAAATTCTATAAATGAGAAATAATAAAAAAAAACGTGTAAAACTTTTTAAATTGAAAATTTTAAACATATAAGATTTTTTTTTCACTTTTATCTATTTTTTCTTTCTTTTTTTTATATTTTTTTATTATTTTTTTATTTTTTTTATTTTATTTTCTTTTTGTTTTTATTACATTTTTTATCATAAGCTAAACGAACATTGAATTTCGTACCTACATTTTTCATGTAAGTTAGTTTGTACCCGAGTTGCAAAAAAGATTGGCGCAATACTGTGTACATACTTTACATGCTGTAAACAATATTGCGCCAATATTGTTTGCTACTCGGGTAGAATTCGGGAACTTTTTACTAATTAATTTATAATTTGATTTCAAAAATTTATAAAGTATAAAATGTAATAAAACTACAAACATACGATTTTGCACGAGATTTAATAAAACAAATGATATTATACAAATCAATAAAATCTACAAATATAAACAAAAAGAACTTTCTTTAATATATTAACAATTACAAGTATGATAACCTCAAAGCACAAGTATAAGAGGTAAAAACAAGTATAATTTATGTTAACTTATGCAGTTTATGCAAGGATTTTGATTTTATTTCGCTTTTGGAGATTTTCTGTTTTATAAGTCTCGTAAATGACGTTTAACAGTAAAACTATCCAATTCAGTTTTTTTATTTACTCTGTTTCCACATGATTAATATAATAGTCATAATATATCAATCTACGAGAACTAAAAACTTGTGTTTTTATATGAAAAAGTAATTTATTAGTTTTTAAGGTTGCATAGATTTGAAAATTTTTTTAAATAACATTGTTTTGCCTTTTGATAAGTAACATTGTTTTAACGTACATTCATTCATTTAAACAAAATTATTTAAAAACAAATTTGATAATAAAATAACGCAATTGTTTTCTATCAGCAAGTAAGAGAAAACTTGATGCATTGTTTGTGGGGTGTCCTTGAGTTATACATTTTAATGTGCGAATTTAATAAAGACTAAATTAGTCTTACTAACCCATAAATAGTAGGATTAATTTAGCCTTTTATTAGATTTGCTTTATAATGGAAAATTTTATTAAATATTTCAAAACCTTTTCAAATGTATTTTTTTTATTTTTTTATTTTTTTATTACGTGTAAATATATACAATCCGTAAGTTACTTACAAGATATGAAGGTAGCAGGGGCGACTAATATGTCTTTTTCTCGCCCCTGCTACAAGCGCAATCTCAAAAAGTCTTCAATAATTTTTATTAAAATAAAGCAGCGGAAAGTTTTTCTTTCTCTCTTTTTTTTAGTCATTTGTACAAAATTTATTACTACAAATATTTTTTGAGGACTAATTTTTTTAGCTCTATTGGTGTTTCTATGACAACATTAATTACTTTAGGTAACTTTATTTTTTAAATTACAGTCATTTGATTTAAATTTCAAATATGACCCAATATAAATATCATTTGTTAACTAATATTATAATCGTTATAAAGATCATTTAATCTCTTTGCACGTTGTGCGAAAACTTACAACATACAAAGAGAATTTATTTTCATTATCGTTTTTGAATGTAAAGAATATAAAATAGTTTGAATATAATTTCCTAAGTATTTAATTCAAGTCAATTTTATCATTCTATGAGCAGAATGTATTTTAATACCGCTCTTTAGAACCATAGGACGTGTGTTACTGTTTGTTTGTTTTTTCCTAAATAGCCTTTACATATTTAGGCAATTTACATATATAAATATGAATAATATGTATTTAAATTATTAAATATAAACTTGTATGAACTATAAAAAAGCTTCATTTCTAAACAATTGTATAAATTATTTCCCCAAGAGCATTATTATTATGATGAATATATTATAATGAATTATTAATGTCAATTATAATTATTTGAAAAATGTTAGATAAACAATATTTAGAAATATATCTATTCAACAAGTTAATGATTATTAATTAACAACAGTAAAACTTTACCAAACCTTAGCATAAAGTTTGTATATTTAATTAGTTCTTAATTATGACAAACAACTTATTAAACTTAATGAATACATTTGTTAATTAAAACAACTTATTAAACTTAATGAATACATTTGTTGATTAAAACAACTTATTAAAATCTAATTAAAATGTCAAAGTTTTTCTAGCTAAAAAATAGTACTTTATAAATATTTAATAAATAAAAATTTTCACAAAAAAATTAATTATAAAAACTTATTTTATTTAAATATCTTGTTGGAACTTCGAAAATACCGTCGCAAAATTTTGTCTACATTCGACTTTATGGTCTTCTTTGTCATTTGTAATTATGTAACCAATGAAAAGCGTTTTATTATTTTAGCTTATAACTATTATTAAATAAAAATGATGCAATTGAATAAAGAAAATAAAACTTAAAAGGTTAACCTAAAGTGATTGCGGACACGTGATTTAAATTTAGGGGGATTATTATTGTGAAATTTTGCAATATTACAATAGAAACCATATTCCCAACGGTTTCAAAGCATATGATAATCAAAACCTTTCTGTCTCCCATTCTGCAATAGAGCTATCCTCGCAATTGTCAAAATTGTTTCTGGTTTTTGATATCAGATTAATGAAACTAAAAAAAAATGGCAACATGTTAAAAGTACTTTTTTTGGGGGGGGTTAAGGATAGCAAGTTTTCAATAAATTAAGTTTTATTGTATAGCGTAGATTGATTTGTGTTTAAACCATTCAACTTATACATTTTGTTTTTTGAAAATTGACAATTTTTATGATTTTATCTTTTTTTTTCAGTCAAAATTTTGACGGTAAAAAGATATTTTTTTCCCACACTTGAGAAAGATTTTCTAGTTCTTATGTCTAAACGTTTAATTTTAACTTTATTCAGTTGTTTTATTATGAATGAATGACTGCAAAAAATAAATAAAAAAATTCAGATCTAATTAAGTTTCATTAGGAGGTTTTAAGAACAAAATATGCAATATACATTAGAAAACCTTTATTAAACCTCTTGGGAATATCATGCCACTTTCACAGCCGTCAAAATTTAAATTACTAAAAAGAAACAATAGAATCAATGCATCAAATCAAATCGCTGTTTCGTTACATTCTTAAAATTCTAATGTTCCATTGTATTAGAATAATACTTAAGTTAATTTTACAGACTTATTATAAAAGTGTTCTGAATGAACGTAGTAATTGACGAGTAAACTCTAAGTTATAGTAAATCTCGTTGATAAAGATGTCGATTCAAGCAGTCATTGCATCGAAATTTATTTATATTCTTGGATTAATTTTAGTTACAAAAGTAGATTACTGTTATGGATGTGGGGTTGGCCGCAGGTTCGGACATGCCTTCAGTACTCAACCAGATATTGAAACTCACTATCCTAACGCAGCGGAAACAAGTGAGCTTGCGAGTGGTTTCTTTGGCAAAAAACTTTTAAAAAACGATACTTCTTTAAGGATAACAATAAACACACAGATTATTTACCAGCATCATCGTCTAGATTCTGAAAGTCGTCTGGCAACAGCGGTACGTAAATATTACAATTTTTTGTGTATACGAAGTTTTAATGTGTCTGATAATCTTGTCATTACAGTAAATATTACAATTTAAACGACAAAAAAGTTTCTGTTTATGTATTTTTCCAATTTTTACTACAAACTGTTTTGTAAAAATATCTTTTAAGCTAATATGATTAATTTTAATATTTGTGGTAACCACTTTAAATTATAGTTTGTTAACTTTTCAAGATTAAAGTTTTCAAGATTATAAAACATTTTATTTTTCGTTAAATATTTCATGGTATTTATAACTTTCAAAAAGTGTTAATGCCACTTAGTTAAACGCAAACGGTTTGCAGGGTAATGGTACGTTATCGGTTTGTCGGTCATTCACAGTATATAGTTAAATTCATAGTGAAAAAATGTTGGAAATAAAAAAAAAAATATTTTCGAAAGTAAAATTTGTCAGTTTTACGTAACTGCAAATGTGTTACTTATTATGTCATAGTTTGTCATCAATCTACCACCGTTATCTTTGTTAATACATTTAAAAAACCTAATACCTTGCATTAAATGAAATAATTAGGTTAGACTTTAACACTATATTATATTACCATCATTTTTTCTGATTGTGTAATATACTTTCTATTATATTTAATTGTATAATAAAATACAAAGCTTTTACAGCCATTACAAACATTTCCATTTATATATTATAAATAATATATAAAAAATATAATAATACAATATATATATTATAAATAATATATAAACAGAAAGAGATTTAAAGTATAATAGGATTTATACGATACATTAGTTCAAAGTGTAGATGATAAAATTATCACCAAAACCTTCCCTTAAAACAATCTCTTTAAAAACCACACTAACTATGAAAGTTTATTTATAAAATAAAGTTTGCATAATAAAGCTGTTAATTAACTGATTATTGCAAAAACAAAAAGTTAAAAACAAGTAAAAAAAACTTTCTAGTAATGATTGCATGCTAAATAAAAAGTTGCAAGACATTTTCAAAAACTTAATTAAGTTAGAAGTTACTTTAAAAAAACATATTGCTAAAGAATATTGTTAAAATTAAAATTCAAAATTGTTTTTAAATAATACACTATTTAAATGGTATAATACTTTAATAGAAAAAAGTTATATAATTTATAAAATTTTATTTTTTATATTTAAAATGCGATTAAATGAAATAGAGTTTTAATTTTTTTTTTACAGGAATATTTTTAACATTTTTTTTTTTTAAGTTGTAAAAAATTTTTACCTGCAATTGAATTGAGTACAAATAAATATATTCTGTTAAAAAAAAAAAACCTATTCTATTCAACCCTCGAATTTAGGGAGAATGAATTATGCAAATTTTTAATGAACTCTAAATTCAAAAAGACTAACAAATAACAATTAAAAACAACAACCAATAATAACAATTTAAAAATGAATTAAATTATAAAAACTTTAAGTTTTTTATTTTTGTGGTGATGTTGAACCGTAGAAAGGTTCTTGTTGTTGAAGTCCCTGTTGTTGCCAGATTTATTTGGTGTTTATTATCTAAGTTAACAAGCAGCTGCAAGAAATTGAGCCGTGTACAACTGTTTTTCAACTTCATTCAAATTTTCCATTTGAATAGTTGGAGTTGTTGCAATATTAAAGGTTGGTTGCTTGCAAGTTGACTTATCATGCTATACAATGTTTCCAGTGTAAATGTTGTTGGTATTGATTCCGAAAATAGAGGTTTAGACGGTGTAGTTTTTAGTATTGTTCTTTGTGGTGAATCTTTGTTACTAGCATAGGTTCTAGTGGTTGAGGTGATTAGGACTTAGATTGTGATTGTGGTATTTATTATCGTATAGTATTAACAGTTTGTAAATTGTTTTGATTCATCGATTTTATTGATAACAAGCGGAAATAAACTAGTATTTAAAAATACAGTGCTAATTTGTGTCTGTAAAAACTTCATTAGAGCCGAAAAGTTATGTTTGCAGTTGACTAAAACGTTCTGTTGAGAATTCTTTGAACTTTGTCTCTGCATTAAACTGTTCAAGTAATTTATCCTGTTTAGTAATTTATCATGTTGTTTTGACAGTTTATATTAGTTTTAAGTTTAAACTAAGCGATTGTCCTTAAATTATTAAAATTGAAATGAAAAATGAAGTACACTAGATTAAAGGACATTTTTTTTTTTAACAAAGCATATTTAGACAGTTGTCGAGACAAAAATAAATAGAAAAGTAATTAAAAATTAACATGAAGTCCAAAGCAAGACAGACATAGCACCTAAACAATATTTGCAAACATGAAAATTGTACTTTTTATAAAAAGTAAAAATCGATCAAAATATCAATTACTATTCGCAAAATTAAAACATATATAGTATATAATATATATAAACATATATAATAAAAATTGAGTGCAAAATAAAAACATACATACGATGATATGGAACCTAATAATGGAAAAACTTTATTTGTGTAGAGTAATAAGCTTCTCCTCCGAGTCGTGTCTTTTTCCTCCGAGTCGCGTCTTTTTCCTCCGAGTCGTGTCTTTTTCCTCCGAGTCGTGTCTTTTTCCTCCGAATCGCGTCTATTATTACTGGCGTTTTGAAGAGGATCAGCACTTTTGTTTTAATTTTATCCATCTCTCACTAAAATATAATAATTTTAATCGGATAATTACAACTAGATTTATTGTTTGTAAGTTTAGACATAGCGATCGTCTATAAGTTACGCGACACTAAATTTTATCTTTTAAGCTTTATCCAATTTATTGTTTATTATTAAAAATAACAATAGACTTAGGATTGATCCCTGAGGACCGCAATTTAGTTTTGAATTCACATATAAGTCAGATTTTAAAAGGCTTGAAAGTTTATTTAAAAGTAAAATACTGCAATCCACCGTATAGAATGCTTTGAGGAAATCAATGAGTACTCACACAAAACTTTTAAAAATATAAATTAGGTTTCAATTAGGTTTCTAAAAGAAGATCGTAGTGTGCAGCCATTTTTAATGTTCTACATAAAAAGTATGAGTTTCATATTAAATAACTTAAAGATTTAAATTTTATATTAAATAACATATAAGTGCTAACAACTTTATAATTCAAATTTGCAACCATTTCTTGTTTTTCGAATGCGACAGAGGTGTGCCAACTTAAGTGGGATCGTTCAGTATTTGCACAATGATAAAACCAAATTTAAAATTGACATAGTAGTAGTTTCATCTTCAACAAAATTATTAGTTTAGTTACTCCAATGGCGTTTTAAACAAAAATTTGTTAAAATTTAAATAAAAACTTGAATGAAAACTTATAAGTCTTATAAGTTAGTTATAAGTTATAAGCTTACAAGTTGAACTTTCTGTTTCAAATGAGGCACTTCTCGAAATTGTTTCTAATTTTTCTGACTTCTGTAAAATTGCGTATCCGATCTAAAGCGCTGATGGAAAAAGTTCAAAAAGAAATGCTGTTGTTTGAAAATGTGGAACGCGTGACTGTTTAAAAAATGTGTATGGTTTTTTAATGACTATTTAACACGAACGTTTTGCAACTGAAATATGAAATCATTTGGGTAATAAAACTGAGCTTTGGTAATAAAACTGAGCTTGGGTAATAAAACTGAGCTTGGGTAATAAAACTGAGCTTGGGTAATAAAACTGAGCTTGGGTAATAAAACTGAGCTTGGGTAATAAAACTGAGCTTGGGTAATAAAACTGAGCTTGGGTAATAAAACTGAGCTTAGGCAATAAAACTAAGCTTGGGTAATAAAACTGAGCTTGGGTAATAAAACTAAGCTTGGGTAATAAAACTGAGCTTGGGTAATAAAATTGAGCTTGGGTAATAAAACTGAGCTTGGTTTATGACTGTATAAAATAAATTTAATGCAGGTTATGTTAATATAATAATATTTATGGTCATATGTGCTTTGCTTAATTAAAACATTTTTTTTTTAAATTAACAAAAACTGTTCTTTGTATTATATTTATTAAAAATAATGAACTACTTTTAATTGCTTGTATAATATTATAAATCTAAAAAAATTCTCATTAAGAAATATTATTTATTTTAATAAATAGTTTTTTTTTCATTTTGAATTTTTCATTAATTTTATCAAAGTTTTACTTAAGTAAAATGTCAATATTTTTTAAGAACAGGTTTTACTTATGTATAAATCACAGAGTGTTGGGACTAAGTAAATGTAATCCTGATGTGTTGGGATTCAGAACAAACCCAATATAGTATTATATGAAAGTATTATGAAAGTTATATGAAACTTTTTTTTCGGATATTGTAGTCTTAATAAAAAAATCTCTAACAATTTTCGCGGTTTACAACACAAAATCTTGCTATTTAAAACTGTTTGAAAAAAGTTATTTGTATTTTGAAGGAACGCAGTTTCAGCCAGAGGTTTTGGGATTTAGCTTTCCTGACAATATCATCTGATAAGTCTCATTGTCTTTACATTCATAATAAGCAGTATGGGATAATATAATTGCATTGCACAAAACATCTTGTGTTAAGATGCTTCGTCAGTTAGATTTTACTTTATTATTTTTTTTCTTTCTGATAATGCAGACATGTTACAAAATGACACCGTTATTTAAAAATTAATTGTTAACAAAGCATTTATATGTATAGGTTTATTTATTCTTGATTCTATTGTTTTCAGATAATAGCTTTATACTGTGTATCGTACGACAGGATATAAAAATATTTTGTTTTGTAAACAATCATTTCCGAATTTTTGAATATGCTAATTTTAAATATTTTTAATAAGAAATTTTAATTTGACAGCTCTTTTTTTTAAATATTTTTTTATCATTCTTTATATAAACGACGTTAAACTTTTACTATTAAAAATATCTTTTGTTTTCAATTTTTGTTACCAAGTTACCAATTATTTTTCATAGTTACCAAATATTTTTAAAGTGTTAGAAACATTTATAAAGCATTAAAATAATATTCTTCACAATATACTTGCTTAAGATCGGTTATAAATAAATTTGTATTTGCAAT